TTCCGAATAAATATTTTAATTACATATAAAAATTTAAATAAATATTTCTAATGGTTTAGATTTTATTCAATTTTATATCTTGAGTCTATCATTTCGTAACGGGGTGTATTAGTATTAGTAATACTATTTGTAATGTATATTCTATGGGAAAATGTTAAGACTATGACGACTATGACCTAATGTTATCTCTATGAACTAAAACTTAATCTAGTGGTTAATGCCTGGGTAATTCTATAATTATATTTATTTAAATTTTTGACATTCTTGAATAATAATAATAATAAATGACCTGCGTTGCCTAATTATAAATACAGTGCCTTTAATTAAAACATTCGTAGTTTTAACGCTACGTTTGTCATTGCATTAATTCATCACAAAATTAGCAGGCTTATTAGGGACAATGTAAATACCCGTATACTTTTCCGTAGCGCTGATGCCATTTAAGTTCCGTCTCGTGTAGTGGGACGAGAAATGTCTCCAAAAAGTTGCCAAAAATAGGTATAGGCCGGGGCCCTACAATACCCTGCTTACTCCAGTAATCGAAATCTCGCACCAAATACCTAATTATCAGGAATCGAAAGACATAATATAGTGCTAAGTCTTATGTATAGTGTAATATAGATATGAGTTTTCTAGAGTATATTTAAATATACTAAATAATACATATAATAAATTAATATAATAAATTTATAATAAATATAATAAATTATAATAAACAAATAAATTAATAATAAGTTAATAGTAAATAAATACAATAAATTAATAACTAATAGTAAATATAATAAATTAATACAAATATATGTAATAAAATGCGATAGAAATCAGAGATACGATCGTTAGTTGTGAATACGATATATAAGAGTCCATTGGTTTTGACTAAACTTTAGTGAATGAGTATCTGTTGCTAAGTTAGCGCAGTTTATATACAGACAACGTTTGGCAAAAAATGGCATTGCATATTTATTAACAAGTCAACTATAATTAAAATGAACAAAAAAATTGTCTTTCGTAATGTATGATATTATTAGAGTGACCAAGCGGGTTTCATGGTAATAATATAGAATTAGAAAGGATTCAATGTAATATATGGACCTAAATAAAAGTTCCTATCCTTCCCTATCTTGCAATATCCTTTAAGACTTAAATTCTAACCCCACCCCTTATCATGCACTTCCCTTTCAAGTCCTCCCCTATCTTCTAACTAATTTAAGTTTGCAAAGCTAATGCAAAATACAATATTAATTGTGATAGAACATAATTTTATAATTTTATTGACTTACGAAAAATATCTATAATTTATGAAAATATAATTAATTCTATAATAGCTTAACTGTAAATGTAGTTTTCTATAGCATTGCTTGCGACCCTTGTTATTATTTAGTGATTGATACAGTCGAGCTTTTGAGGACAAAATTTAATCTAAAGCCTTATGTTTATATACACTATGTTTTGGTAAAAACTGAAAAGTTCTTATCATTTATTGATCATGGATTATCCCAATGGTTTAACCTTTGACCGCTAGCAGTGAGCCATGCAAATAGTTTTGGGATAATCCATGATCAATAAATGATAAGAACTTTTCAGTTTTTACAAAAACATAGTGTATATAAAATAAAGGCTTTAGATTAAATTTTGTCCTCAAAAGCTCGACTGTAGTGATTGACAATCATTGTTGGTTTAAATTGTTACAATCTGTGCATAAGCTATTAACAAAAATCTAAGATAATTAAAATAGGGGAACTGGCAAATTGACCTAAACTTAAATAACTTAATGACCAATAGACTTTTGA